CGGTAGGACCGCGCGGAAGCCGGCGGCGCGCCCGCGGCGGCCGGTTCGGAAGGAGCCGCCTGAGTCACCCGCCCCGCCCTACGCAGCCGGACTCAGCCGGAGGCCGGGAGCAGCGGAGGCCGGGGAACGGCGGACCTGTGAAAGGCGGTGAGCGCCCGGGCCACACTACCCTTGTGCTTCCTAATCCGCCTTTACGGCCCCAGACCCGACGAGATCCTAAAGTCCCGGCTTCAGGGGTCCCCAGACTTACGATCTGAGATTCGAACCTCCAGACCCGTCCTGCCCCTCTTATGCCGCCCCGGACACTCTTCCACCCTACGTCTCCTTAAAATACGAGACCATGGATTTGAGAGGTACCCCGTAAATTATGATGCCCTGGGGTGGCTTCCAGAACCACGATCCTAGATCCGTGTTCCCAATTCCAACGGGGAACCCGTTATTCCAGGCCCGGGTCTGACACCCACGATCTCAGACCCGAGCCCACAGATCCAGCAGTGACACTGTAATCCCGCTGCTGGGAGTTATCTAAATTTTCAAGCCCACATTCTGAATTTCCAAAACCCTCCAGGCCGCGCTCCTGACTCGCCCAAGACCCATCGTGCAGTTTTGGGGCTCTGATTCGAGTTCCCAGGCACATCGAGGATGCCTTACTTGGAGCCTCCGAGAACCCCACCAGAACTGGGCCCCTACCCTTAACGAAGCCTATGTGTCCGTTCAGTCCAGGGTCACTCAAGCCTGATGGGGAGGGACCCTTTGAATCCGGAGGGGTTTCAAACCTACCCTCAGTCCCTATCGCGCCACCCAGAACTGCCCTCCCCGGCTCGTCCAGCCCCAGCCGGAGGATGGGCCCCCTCCCGGAGGCCTCATTCCCCACGTCCGGCTGCCTGAATTTCTTATTTTTACGGGGAGGGGGTGGGCTCGGGGCCAGGCGGCCACCTAACCCCTTTTTTCTCCTTAGGAATCCTTAGGAGTCGCAGCCATGTTCCTGGTTAACTCGTTCTTGAAGGGAGGCGGAGG